TAAAATTGATGTAAACTATTAGTTTGGAACTCATTGTTGGTTTGAAACCTTTGTACTTGTTGATGGAATTGCATGTGTACTAGCTGGGTAAACATTTTCAAGTATCATTCAACCTTTGGCCTTTTCGAAAAAAAATAAACCTTAAAAAACCCTAATAAAATCATCTCCCAGGGTAAAGAAATACCATGAACCATCTATAGAAGGGTGTCAATAACCACCACAAATATCAAGATGAACCAATTCAAAACATCTTTGAGTTTTGATGGTGCTTTTAGGAAAAGGAAAGCATGTCTGCTTAGCCCAAATGCAAGTATCATAAGGCAAAACATCTTAATTATAACTTGCGCGGAAATAAGGCTTAACTAATATGAGCTTCACATAAGATGGGTAACCCGACCTTGAATGCCAAATCATTGTCATAGCGAGATTTCCACCAACATGGAAACTTGTGGCTCCATAACACCACACTGCTGCAAATAATATAACCTATCTTTGACCTTAATCATCTCAACCATTCTCTGGAGCAGAAGTCCTGAATAATGCAGATGACAAAAGATGACTTGCACAAGGGTTTATCCCGAGGAAGTGCAACTATACGACTCCTGGTTTACCTATGTTGAGCTAATTACGGTTAGGTCAAGTACATGTGCAAGTAACGAATTATGATTAAGCAAGATGAAATATGAATAATGTATAAGGATAACAAATATGAGTGTTGTGGTCTCACGGTCAACTACATAGTAATTAGGGCTCCCTATGCTATTACTCTATTATGATATGTATGATAGTCACACCTCTCAATGGTGGTGACTGAAGATTTCTTACGAGATATGACCACACCTAGAGCGGTGTCGGGGTATGACTACATCCATAGTGGTGTGGGGTATGTATGACCACATCCGACGGGATGTTGGGGTATGTATGACTACATCTGACAGGATGTGGGGTATGTTTCTCGGGAGAGTTATTAGCATGGGAGTAGCCAGGCGCCTATGATTAAAACATGATAAGATGCATATGCATAAGTCAAGGTGGTTGAGTCTTTTTCCTATTGGGATGTCGAATGGCTGAGGTCTGATCCTAGTGCTTTGGCTTGTTTGCTAGATGTATGGTAGGGGTATGCTTTGTTATGAAATCACGATGCTATGATTATCTCACTCAACTATGAGCTGACCCTCTTTTATTCTTTTCCTCTGCTTATGCTATGTGTAAGCAGATCATCAGCAGTAGCAGTAGCAGTAGCAAGTACATAGGTGTGAGCAGAACGAAGAGTTGAAGGCAGAATGAGGTATTGTCTTCAACTATTCAGTGCTTGGACGACTACTTGGAATTTTGGCCAGTGATCCACACCTTTTTGTAAAAATGTTTTGAGAACGTTTTTCATCTGCATACTAGCTCCTGATATAGTGTGAGATATCCACAGGTGTGGAAGGTTGATGATATGGGTATATTTGTGTAATTGTGTAAGTTGTGATGATTATGACATGTATAAGTATCGTACGCAGTTGTGGAGTATGAAAATTGTGACTATGGCTATGAAAAGGCAATGCATATGGTTGTGAGTATATATGTTTGTGATGAATTATTTTGCAGGATAAGTTGCAAGAACTGTTAGCCCATTACGCGAGTAATTCATGTCGAAATTTTATTTGGGTAAATTTTAATAATTAATGTAACACCCTAGATTAATTCCACTGCAATTGTATGAACAATACGATCAGGCAAAACGTGCAGGGTAGGGTGTTACAAACAATCTCCACCATGACTTGAATTCTCTCTCAAATACCAGATGTACCAGACGCAACCAAAGTTGCCAGATGTACCCAGATGCGATACATATCGCCAAATTTACCCAGATGCGATCGAAACCGCCAAAATCAAATGCGATGCAAATCGCCAAACTTAGATGCAATCAAAATTTCCAGACGTACCAAACTCCTCCAAATCAGCTGTACCAGAATCTCTCCTGCCTCCAAATGCCCCTAAGGGCGGTTAACAAATCAAAACATGCAGCAAGTCCAACCCATGTTGGGACTTGCCATGCAGAACCAACTTGGTGTTATTTTCGGCCATATAACACCAACATCAAATTTACTGCTAACTCCAAACCAGGTACTCCAACTTGCAATTGCCGGCTTTGCTAAACCCACAAACCAAATTTGGAGAAAAACTGAAGGGCTTCCTCGGCCATCCCCAAATCGTAGACTACCTCCTGATACCACAGCAATCACCACGATCCCTTTGCCCGAACGACCAACCAGGCTCTGATACCACTTGTCAGAACAGAAGCGTGCAATCGATAATCCCGATCAACACAAACGAACACAAATTTAACGTGGTTCGCTAACAATGTGTGCTAGCTAATCCACGAGCAGGGGAGAACAAATTTCACTAATTTGAGGAAAGTATAGGTTACAAACCAAATTTTGGAATGGACAAACCAAACAAACTAACCTGACTGGCCTTACTACAGACTAGGGTGATGTAGAGTATTTATATAACTCTTCTCCTAATCCCAAACAGAAAACTAAACACCTTTTTCCAAACGTACAAGGAAAAGATCAAACAAAGCCCAAACACAAACCCAAACAAAATAGGCCCAAACACAAAACAAACCCAAATCAAATTCAAGTCATATCCTAACAATTATCCCCTTACCTTTTTACTATAGCAATGGAAGTGTTTTCATGTCTTCTTGCTCAAGCAGTAAAGGCTAAGCAAATACCATTTCATCCCCATTGTAAAAGCCTAGAGATCACACACCTTTGCTTTGCAGATGATTTTTTGGTGTTTACAAATGGGACATCTCAAGCTATTCTTGGGGTACAACAAGTCGTCACCTTCTATGAAGTCTCAGGTTTAAAATCTAATCCGCAGAAGTGTCAACTGTTTTGTACTAGGGTCTCGCATGATGAAAAGCAAGCTCTTTCTGGTTAGTCTGGGTTTCCTTTGGGGGAGCTACCTGTTCGATATCTGGGAGTGTCGCTTCTGTCAAGTAAACTGACTTATGCAGAATGTGAATGCTTGGTAGACAAAATTTTAAAACGGATTAATACATGACATGCCATTTCATTAAGTTACCCAAGAAAATGTAGTTGATGGAATCTGTTGTCACTTGTCACCAGTCTATTCCAGTATTGGATGTCAGTGTTTTGCTTCTTGTTAAGGTTCTTAACTGATTGAAGAAGCTTGTAATAAGTTTTTGTGGGGCGTGGATTGTGCTAAAAAGGAAGAAAGCTCTTGGTGCTTGGTCGAAAATTGCAATATTAAGGCGAGAAGGGGGTTTGGGCATTTGAGATTTCAAGACTTGGAATAAGGCTTGCGTGATCAGACATTTATGGAATTTGTTAGTTGCAGCTGGCTCGTTGTGGGTAGCGTGGATGCAAAGGTATCGAGTCAAAGGAAGGAACATATGGTCTCTTCCTGTCAGTACAGTTAGTACTTGGATTTGGAGGAAGGTTCTCAAATGTCGAGGTCTGGCGCAACAACACATATCTGGTTCAGGTGACACACTGGCAAGGGATGGAGTCACTATAGCTAAATACTCAGTAAAGCTTGTCTGGGAATCAATCAGAGTTCCCTCCCCCAAGGTTACATGGTATCATGCTGTCTGGGGTAAACCAATATTTCCGAAACATAGTGTGATGTTGTGGCTTATTGTATCAGACATAATCAAAATGAAAGACAAGTTGGTTGAATGGGGGTTCATTGTGATATTTGTTGTGCACTTTGTCGTGGAGGTATTGAAAGTATCGATCATTTGTTTGGGGCCTAGGCTTTTGGTTCTGCAGTTTTGAAGAAAGTGTTGCAAAAGGTCAGTGTCTAGTCTGAATTTGGGGATTGAAATTCGCAGTTGGCTTGGGCAGAATAACAATGGATGCAGTCAAATGATGCAGCTGTGGTTGGGAGGCTCTTATGGATTATGGGTATCGGTTTTATCTGGCGAGAAAGGTGTGCTCATTCATTTGTATGGTACCACGGTAGCTCTCTCCCCAAATCAAGTTTCACTCAAGCTATTGAAGGAGTTTGTTGTGTTTTTCTCTTATGAGAGTTTGATGGTTGTAATTACGAGTTGACATTTGAGAGGGAGTTTTTGCGAGTTGCAACTCCCCGAGCTTCAATAGAATTTTTGATTAATCATAAAAAAAAACTTCCAGCCACAAAATCATGGAATCATCCAAGAAAAAAAATTCTACAAATGAGAATTTTTTTACAGAAACCTATTACAAGAGTGCTACTAGAGGGGTGAGCGGAGGAGAAAACAAGTGTCATCCCTAAAATTTGAACTCCGGGCTCACAAGCTAAAAACCAATGTTGTCAGAACCGAACCGGAGCATGACTAGGTAATGCGAACGACTCTCACTTTAGTGGTCCAACCGGCATTAGACCGTTTAAAAACCGGTAGAGAACCGGTACCTAATAAACATTATCAGTATAAATAGTGGACATTTCTTAATCAGAGCTCGTCTCTTTCCTTCGAAATTGTGAAATGGAAATAAAAAAACAGTTTGAGAGCCCGACGTTTTTGGTTTATTTCAATTTTCTGCAATTTTTTTAATTAAATTTAACGCCTGAATGGCAAAAACCGGACGAACGGCTAGAGCGGTTAACCGCCTCGGCCGCTCATCCACCGCTACATAAAACCGGAGCGACTTTTAGACTGTTCCGAGCCAGTTTTGTGATTGAGTGGCGGTTTTACCGGTCGGGCCAAACAGGTCGGCTCGACTTTAATAACACTGCTGAAAACTCTCTTTTATTAGTTGGAGAACCAAAAATACACTTTAAATTGCTAACCGATCTGGTGCAGCAGGCGTGGCTAGATTCGATCGGCCCAAATCCTCGGTGAACACGCTCAAATTGCTGGAAGCGGACTTAGCAATGTCCGCCCAAAACTAATCGAAGCTAGCAAAGCAAGCGCAGCGCAGCAAAAGCCAACTAATCCTTGTACAAACAAGACGGAAAATATTAATTAATAATAAAACCCAACCAATCCTGCCTACCGATACCTTCACTCCATCCCCCCCTGCCTTTCCTCGTTACTCTCGCCTCCGCTCCTCCAGCTTATACTTCGTCATGCTCCTCCAGGGCCCTATATAACAACACTACCAACTAATCGCAGCCAGACCCAGATCCCTTTCTCCGATTCCAGCAATGGCTTCTATCAATGCTGTCGCCAATTCCCTCCTACTCCCCTCTCGCTCTTCATCTTCTTCCTCCTCCTCCTCTCCCCTTTTCCCCAACGGCTCCAATGCGCTCAGTCCGTCAAAAGTCTCTCTTTCTAACTCCAGATCCCAATCATCGACTACCTCGCTAAGGATGTTCAGAAAGCCCATTGCTAACTCTCCTCTTCATGCCGCCTCCGCTGCTGCTGACGAGGCCGAGCCGACTAAGGACGAGACCCCCATTGAACTGAGTCAGTTGATTTTCCATATCCATTTCAATTTTCTTCTCGGGTTTGTGGGCTGTCGCTCTTGTGTTTGATCAATTGTCTCTGTGGCCCTGTTTTCGGCAGAGTATCCAGCTTACCCTACTGTGATGGACATCAACCAGATTCGTGAGATATTGCCTCACCGGTAAGTGAACGCTTGTGCTCTCTGGGGAACTGGGTGGTGGAGGCATTTTGTGAGGAGCTCGTGAATTGTGTTTACGTTTCTTACGGGTTTGCCTGTTTGTTTGTTTGTTTGTTCGTTTAGGTTCCCATTCCTGCTGGTGGATAGAGTGATTGAGTACAATCCGGGTGTTTCGGCTGTTGCAATAAAAAATGTTACGATAAATGACAATTTCTTTCCTGGGCATTTCCCTGAGAGGCCAATTATGCCCGGTGTTCTCATGGTTGAGGTAAAGACTTCACCTTTCTCCATTGTTACTCGCTCCAGCAAGAAACTTGCATGGCCTATAAAATTATAAGAACGAGTAGTTTGTCCTCTTTCTCTCTCGGTACAATCCAGTGATTTTCAGGTTAAGTATGAACTAATCTAAGCAGGGGCATAGATCAATGGTTAAACCAGGTTTGCCATCCAGGCCCTGACTTAGTTGGACAAAGCTAACTTATTTATCTGTTGAGATTTTGTGTTAGAGGGTGGTATTTGGGTATTTAGGTCCACTTCTTCGCCTGCTATTACCTTCACCCGGTGGGTTGATTGTTGGGGAACTAAGACATATATCCCAAACTCTGAAAAATGGAAAAAAATAATTTCGCTGCTTTTCAAAATCTTGGCTGTTGGTGTTTGTCTGGTACCTTGATCTCAATCTAGGTCCAAGTGAGTTAGGAGTTCGTGTGCTTGGACTTACAGGCCCCTATTCATTGTTGGAAGCTTAGCGGCTTAGACTCAGAGATGAATCTGTGGTAAGCTGCCGTTTTCGATTAAGTTAGAGAGGAGTTTGAGGATTTTTCTCAATGTCTGTGGGTATCATTCTTCACTTTTATGAAAATTTTGTCTCTGGAGTTTACTGAGGAAGGGAAGCCATTTAGTTGAGATCTTGCAGCACGCATGTTTCCATTGAGGAAGAGGGATTTTTGCTTTAAGCGTTTGGGACATGTAGGAACTCTATATAGGACCAAACTCTATTTTCCAAATCAAATAGGCTAGTTGTCATCCTTTGCAATAGTGTTGATGCAAGCAATTGTGCATGCGTGGATGTGGCATTATCAGAGAGTACTCAACACTTGTTCTGGAGCTAATGTGTTGCAAGTAGTAAGTTTCTTCAAAAATATGATACGGATCTGGTTGTATTGCATGTTTGCAATAGTCCAGTAGCTTGATTAGTTTGTTTATTGAATATCTGATCATTCAAGCGGCCGAGTCTATAGCATTATATATTTCCAGTAGTCCATATCCTCGAATATTGTACTAGCACTTCTACAACTGGTCCTCTATAAAGTTATTGACTCCAAGCATTATAATAATTAATATCTATTGAAATTGATTATATTTGGACATAAATGGAAACAAGTTGGAATTTGAATTCTTAGTGATCCTGATTAATGGTCTCGTATTTACTGTTTGGTTAATTTGTTTGTTTCAACTATTTTGTTGTCATGCATGCCAATTGCCAATGCTTCTGTGCCTTGTTGCATTTCATTTCCAAAACCTGTTGGACCTCGGATTTAATGGAAAAGCACCATTGATTCATAAATAACTACTCTTTCTGGAATGCTCCTGCAATGAACGCATACTATGCTTCCTGCACTTGCGCTGCTGCTCCAACTACATCTGTGGCAGTGCTGCTTTCTCATCATTTGTACCATGTTATGCAGAGAATTGATTGTAATGATATGAATGAGCATTACACCACAAGCATCCCATGTTTTTAAAATTGGCTACTGTTGATTCCAGGCAATGGCACAAGTTGGTGGCTTGGTAATGCTGCAACCAGAAGTTGGGGGAAACAAGGCATCATTTTTCTTTGCTGGAATTGACAAAGTCAGGTTCAGGAAACCAGTGATAGCTGGGGACACCCTGGTTATGAGAATGACCCTTGTGAAGCTGCAGAAACGTTTTGGAATAGCTAAGATGGAAGGAAAAGCTTACGTTGGGACTGACGTGGTCTGTGAGGGGGAGTTTCTGATGGCCATGGGACAAGAATCTTAATTTGATTCCTCTTAAGGAGTAGTTATCTTCAGTTTATGTAAACTGAAAATGAATGCTGGTGACGAACTGACAATCCATCAACTTGGAGGTCCCTTTTCCTATTTTTTTTTTAGTATGCCATTTATCTCTTATTAGAGTCTAGTATCTTTATGGTGGCGCATCTCAATCACAGGCGTGGAAAGAACTTTTGGTAGCAGCACATGATGAAAACGTCATTTGCAGCAAAACAGAAGTTAACTATGGACTTGTAAGAGCTTCAGAAGTTCGAGTTTAAGGATTGAATGCATAGCTAGCCATATGATGTTAACGAGCTTAGAGTTTTGATGAGTGATCTGTTCTATTTTAAGAATGATCTGTTGTGTGAAATTCCTTCTGCATTTTGGCTTTTGTGTTTGTGAAATAGGAGTTGGGAGAGTTGGGAGTCGGCCAATATTGTCAAATAGTGTGTTTGTATTACGATTTTCAACAGTTTTTTTAAGAATGGTGCCGTTATTAGACAGCTTCAACAGAAACGGAGCATTGGTCAGATTTGTAATGCGAATGGTGGTCTTTCAACTTTGGAACCAACTGAACGGTTTTAACCTACTCATCTCGGACTTTCGCCAAAAAGTTTGTGGTTTATGTTGGACTTTATGGGATGAGGGTACACGTATGATAGTCCATATGACTACGTATGATAGTCCATATGACTGGATGATCAGGATTCTGATATGGTTGTGAATTATGTTCACTTTTCGTAAAAAATATTTCTACTCTTTACAAAACTTTAGGTTATAGACATTTTTTTCGTAGAATAAAACTATCACCACTTTAGATTCTAGGTTTAAGAAACTTAGTCTTAAGAAGCTAAAGCATGAAGGAAGATAATGATTTTTGGTGTGTCTTTTCACTATCCAACAACATATTACTATATATAAACCTGAAGTTGAGTTACTGCTGCATAATTATTTACATTTTGATACCCCAAATTTAATTAAATCACAACTTAGTCACTATAATGTACATTTTATATTAAGATACCCCATATTTAATTATAATGTAAAATCATTGAAAAATTATGATTGGTTTACTTACTATATATAAACCTGAAGTTGAGTTACTGTTGCATAATTATTTACATTTTGATACCCCAAATTTAATTAAATCACAACTTAGTCACTATAATGTACATTTTATATTTAGATACCCCATATTTAATTGTAATGTAAATCATTGAACAATTGTATTTGGTATATAAATTTTATGAGATTTTCGTACCTAATACCCCAAATTTAATTAAATCACAACTTAGTCACTATAATGTACATTTAATATTTTGATACCCCAAATTTAATTTTAATGTAAAATCATTGAACAATTATGTTTTGGTATCTAAATTTTATGAAATTTTCGTACCTACGATTTTTTAAATTTACCTATTGGTTCAATGTTTAAATTTCACTTGAATCCATGAATCCAATCCACCAATTCTTTTGAACCAATCCATGAATCCAATCCAATATAACATAAGAGAATAAATTTAGTCTATATAATACAAGATGTTATACCACTCAATTGTAGGAGAAGATTCGACCATTTTATATTTGCTCATAACGTGAAACATTAAATAAATGATAAAAGACAGACGACTCTAAAATATTGCATGAGCGAACTAAACAAAATTCTACTAACTACATGAACAAAATATGTGACATCTACATAAGCAAGTGTCAATAAATTGATACGGTGAAAATGATTGACTGTTGTATTGACGACCAACTAAAAGAATTAATCAAAATTTTCTAAATTTTCTAAATTTGATGTTTACCATCATATATATCTTCTCAGTTAATATCATATTGTCAAGTCAATATTACTACTGCGGGTAGTTATCCTAAATGGTAACAAACCTATTCACTTTGTACAAAACGATAACAATTCTTTAATTTTGCACGTTTTGGTAATAAAAGTTTGAGCGAATAACAAAATAGTAAATCCGTCCAATTCCGTCCAAAATTCCGTCCCAGATCGCCTCGTCAGCATGACACGTCATTATATATAATAATAAAAAAAATAACTTATCAACCAACTTAACCCAGCAATCCAACCGGCCAGATTAAACCCTTTTCCCATCAGGACCCGAATTGGACTATTACTCCAAATCAAGCTTTGTGGGGGAGAGCCAGAACGAAAGTGGCGAGGAGAGGCGGAAGGTTTGTTGATGATTGGAGGGGGGTGTAACTGCTGTTGGCAGGAAGTTTATTCATCCTCTTCACTTCTTCGTGAACCATCGCCTTCTTCTTCTCATTCCCCATCGTCTGCCACCCGGCCGGTGTCTCCGCAGACTGAGGAGCGGCAACGGCGACGGCGGCGACAGAGGAGAATACGACATCCATAACTGCGACAACAGTTGCTGCGTTCGAGAATTATGAAGCGAGAATCACTGCGTGAATTGAAGGGGAACGAAAACCTTTAGGTAGAAGATGATTAATTCTTCATCAAGAGAGTTGGCTTCTGTTACCCGCCGTAATTTCTACGCGGCTAATCAAAGCTTTAGAACCGTAATTTCTACGCGGAAGGGTTGTTGATGATTGGAGGGGGGCGATTGGTGAGGTGAACGAGCGGTGGAGGGCGAATCCACTGCAGGCGAGAGCGCTGGGGCTTGGGTGCGTGAATGGACGGCGGAGCAGAGAAGCGCTCGTGAGCAGGGGATCCGGTGAGCTTCTGGACGACGTAGCGGAAATCGCCCTTGTTGATGTTGTAGACCGGCGGCTGGTTCTGGCTTTGCGGCGGTTGGGAGGAGGAAGGGGGCATCGGCGCGGCGGGGGAGGAAGTGGAGGATTGAAGTTGTTGTCGCTGTTATCACTGTTGTTGGGTGGTTGATCGAAAGGCTTCTTTGGGATAGTGGGTTTGGAGATCTTGTGGGGAAGCTTATTTAGGCTTTTGAGGTATTGGTCTCTGCTGCTGTTGCCAGTGCTAGAGTCCGCCGTCGATGAAGAAGAAGAAGGCGGTGGTTGATGATTATCCATCTGCTACTTCTTTTTTTTTTCTCCAATTCGATACCTGGGTTTCTTGAAGATCTAAGAACGCCGAGCCCAACTGGAAGAATTGACCAACCAATCAGTGGCAATCGGCTGGATTGGATTTTGCAACAGTAATTTGTATGATCAGCAACGAAACAAGTGATGAAGATACGGAAACAGGGGAGAGAGAGGTGGGATGGGTAAAGGGTTTAATCTGGCCGGTTGGATTGCCGGGTTAAGTGGGTTGATTAGTTATTTTTTTATTATTATTTATACTGACGTGTCATGTTGACGGGGCGATCTGGGACGGAGTTTTGGACGGAATTGAACGGATTTATTATTTTGTTATTTGCTCAAACCTTTATTATTGAAATGTACAAAATTAAAGGATTGTGACCGTTTTGTACAAAGTGAATACGATTGTGACCATTTATGATAACTACCCTTACTACTACTAACGAAAAACTAATTTTAGGCTAATAATACGAACAAAATACTATAACGGGCCACATAATACATGCTAATAGGCCATCTCCGACCGCGACAAGATGCGGAATCGCACACCTAGTATATATATATATATATATAGTGATTGGAAGAGACCGAAACACATAAGGGTTGGGAAGGGTTTCATGGTGAATAGACACATCTCTTCATGAAAAACAATGGCATGTACGGTTGGCAACTGCACTTTGTCAAAGGTTGCATTATTTGGCCATACAACACTTCGTTCCATTTCTGCTTGTGTGAGCTTCACGAACCCTCGTGGAGGTAGCCGGGGTCCCGGCCATCCTCCTGGCGGTGTTGCCGTCGCTGCGGCTGGTGCGGCTCTAGCTGCAGATGCGGCCGCTCCTCCCTGACCTCCGGTCACCGCCGAGTACCCGCCAGTGCCCTTTTGACTTCGAGCCACCTTCCACCTTGCCAGCTCCTCCTCATTGCGCCCGGCTAATTGGAATGCGACCCTCAAAGACCAGGCTCGAACACCTTCACCGCGGCAGCTAACTCTGGCTTCAAACCTGCAAGACACAAACCAACCAGTGTCTCCTCCAGCATCTCTTTACACATATTTCCCAGCCTCATGAACTCCGATCAGAACTCAGCCACTGTGCCCGTCTACCGTAGCTTTGCTAGCTGCTCTAGGGCCCACCCCCTCGGACTTCCCGAACTAATATTGTAGCTCCTCTTTCAACCGCGGCCAGGTGATCAGCATTTCAGCCTCTGCATATGACCGCTCCATCCACTCCCAACATTGGAGAGCATCGCCCTCCAAGTAAAAAGACGCTAGCTGCGCCTTTCTCTCCTCTCGAGTATGGTGGTTCTTAAACCACCGATCTGTAGCATAAATCCACAATCCTGCATCCTCATGACCGTAGAATTTTGGAAACTCAATGGTCGGGGGTTAGCTCTAAACACCAGCTCATCCTCACCTTCATAAACAGAGTTGTAACCACCATACCTGCCAATGCCATGACCGCCTCGACGAGATTCCTCATGGCCCTCACGATTGGGTTTTCTCCATGCCTGATTGTCAAAGCCTCACCCTTCCTCCTCATCTCTCCAGCCGCCCTCCCTAGTTCCGGATCCTTGGCCCACTTCCCAATGCTTGTCCCGTCGACGCCGATCAACCTTAGGTGTCATCATAGGAGGGTACATAACATCTGAACCGGCTTGGTTCGGTTTGAACTGGTTCGGGTGGTAATCTCCCCAGCTGCGATCAGCCAAGCCACCACCCAAACCCAGCTGGTTAGGGTGGTAATCTCCCCCCAGTGGCCCTCCTTGTGGGTCAAACTCGACCCACTCCCTCCTTTGGTCGATCAGGCTCATCTCCTCTACACTCCGAGCCCATTCGGCCTATTTATCATTTGGACTACGGTTATCCCGAACCCGAACTTTTCTTGCTTCCGGACCCATCAATCCGTAGCCCATCTCCCCGCTTACGGAGTCGTAGCCTGACATCTTGGCCTTTTCGCGCATCGCCGCAATTTCCTTGGCCGTCGGAGTAGGTAATAGGCCCGAGGCAGGATTCGGCTGCGTCGAACCCTGGCCTGCACACCTCGTCGCTCCTCCCGATGGGTAGGACCTGCCGCTGCCGCCTCCTTGGACACCAGGACTAGTGCGCGCCGCCGCACCCGTCGCTGCTGGCGCCGCCTCCGCCGTCACCAACGCCCCGATCTCCGCGCTTGGCACCTGCTTTGCCGCAGTCACAGCAACCGAGATGGTTGCAGCCTCCTTCGAACCGACCGCTCCCTCCCTGGTCTTCAACGGTGACGCTAGTAGCCCTTGCGGCGGTATCGCCACCTTCATTAGTTCCATTAGCGACCGTAGGTCATCGTTGTACCTTCTAGTCATCTTCTGGATGGTTTCATTCACCTCCCCCATACAAACATGGAGGCTGATATGATGATCCGCCGTTGTTCTTAGCACCCCTTATTATCTTCCTCAAGGATGATGTCCTCCACCGTCACGGTGTCCTGTAGTCTCCTCTACAGGGATTGATATGAAGAGCTCATCTTTCCTCTGACCCAGAAGCCAAGTAGGCTCTAATACCACTGTAAGAAACCGAGGATCTAGGCGTCTTGGCTCTAGGGTTCTACGATCGGGATCAATAGGGGATTGGGGATTAAGAAGGAGTGGTTTGGGGGGACATAATGAGATTTGGGAAGGAAGAAGAGAGGGAGGTCGGCGGCCAAGTGGTGGCCGACGAGGATGATGTTGTTGGAAGAAGAGGAGGGGTTCAGCCGAGTGAGAGAGAGAGAGAGAGAGAATTAGGATTTTGCTTAATAAGTAATTACCCACTAATTACAGAATATATAACCCGAATAATTCCCGCTAACAACCCCACTTATTATCCCTTATGGAAATAACCGAATAATCCTCAAATGCACCCAAAAACCCCCCAATTAATATCCAATATGCCCCAAACATAAATCAAATGACGAACAAATCCAAATACCGAAATGTTTTCCCATGATACTTGATGACACTCAATTTATAGTGTTTATCACTCCTATATTCGATACATATTCCCCTTGTATCAGTGAATCTTTAATATTTTTTATTTTATTTCATATGTAATTCATAACTATTCGATTACTGAGCTTATGATAGACCTTGGGTGTGTTTTGGACTATTTTATATACACCTTTTGGTGTTGTCTTGTGGTTTTCAAGGAGACAATTCACTCAAGACGAATATGGATAAAAAAGGGAACCAATGGATCAGAAGGAGGACAAGATTACAAGCTCATGAGCTCAAACCGAGATGGATTTAGACATTGGATGGTCACTTTATGACCAAAACAAGCATATCTAGAAGTGCAGCAGACTCCACTTTGAACATGGCCCATGAGAGATTTTCTGACTAACTGATTCTCTACAAATTGGTGAAGGATTTACTTGGCCCACAAGCAACCCAGCCCAACTAGAAAAGGAGTGTTGGCCCAACGAAGGGTCCAACTGATGCTCGTGTCCTAACTCTTCAGAAGATTCTAGAACCAGCCTACGTCGTCCACAAGTTGAAGGAATATGAGTTCAAGTCGCACAAGGAAGGTTTCAGCGAACTTTAGGAGGAAAAATACTATAAAAATCTCTTATATAACTAGTATAAATAGGAGGTTAGGCTATAGCTTTAACACACACCTTTTACCAGTACTCTGTTCTAGGGGCACTAGTTAGAAATCCACAAAGAGGAGGTGAAGCCACGCTAAAGCTCGATGAGTAGTTGTCACCATTGATTCATGTATCATTGGTGATGCCTTCCTATTCTCCTATGCATAGCTAGATCGAAATTGGTTATGGATATGAATCTATGATGCTTTATGTACGACTTTCAATGATTCAATGATGATGCATATTGTGTTCAATGACTGTACCATCGATGCTTGCGTTGATTTATGTTTGTATCATCTATTGCTCTAGTATTCGATGCTATTATCTTTGTATGCTTTAGACCTTTGATGCTTATGATTCTTCTATGTGCTACTATATGCATTGTGGTTAGTATCATCTAGGTTGTTAAGAAATTACCCACTAGTGATACCTCAGTGGTGTTATTCGAGTATAGTTTGAATGACCAGACCATCTATACCTTGAGTAGCATCAATGCTTGATTCTTAGATCATCGATGTTATAGGCCATCAGTTATTGCTCAAAGAGTCCCACACTTAATCATATGTTATCCTAACTTCCTTGTTCTTCATTGATTAGGTGATGGCATGAAGCGAAAACACGCATTAGTTAATCAAATTCCTTTCGCAAGAGGCACATGCACGAGGAGGAACTGGCCTTACGGGAAGGGATAGGGCATCAAAATAGATTATGCATAGAATCACCTCGTTGAGGAGTTATTATGCACGATCACCTAAAAAGCATCACATAAGCGAAGCGAAAACACGCATTAGTTAATCAAATTCCTTTCGCAAGAGGCACATGCATGGGGAGGAACTGGCCTTACGGGAAGGGATAGGGCATCAAAATAGATTATGCATAGAATCACCTCGTTGAGGAGTTATTATGAACGATCACCTAAAAAGCATCACATAAGCAATCTTTTACTTATTTTGATTTCATTATATTACTTGATTGTATAATTTCTTTCTTGTTTAATAGACTAGTAGAACAAATTATGGAACCTCAACCTACATCATATTTACTTATCTTGCATCGTCATTCGAACACATATAGTTAGGTTTGATTAGTTACTATCAAAAGTCCTCGTGGAATACAAACCTACAATATCCTAGGATTATAACTCGATTTACTACATCATTACTATGCGTGGATGGAGGCAAAGAAACCAGCAGTGCACCTAAAGAGGATACATGAGCATGGATATGGAGCTGGCTACCCACCACCACCACCACTTTAACATGGCGCCTATGCAGTCCAGCTGGCAGAGATGAGAGCAGCCATAGAGAGGCAGGAGGAAAACTTGACTTCCTATCATAACTAGAACGAGTAACACTGAGATGCTTTGGAACAGGAGAGACAGATGGATATTAAGGAGAC